CCCCCGCGTGCACAAGCACAGACGCGCGATTCGCTTCTTCTCTCTCTTGCTCACTCACCCAGCATCTGCAAGCGCTTGAGACTAGTCATGCTCGTGACGATGTTCCTCTTTGCAGTGTCCAGACTTCGAATGTCCCGCGTAATGTCCCTGACCACACCTTCGGCCTCTGCGGCTTGATCGCGTATCTTTGATAATTGTCTCAATAGCTGCGTCACCTCATCCTGTCCCACCTGCGCTTCTTTCGCTCCTGCCGCCGCCGCCGCCGCTGCTGCTGCTCCATCATCATCTTCCTGCACACTCGACCCGTTCGCCCGACTACGACGGATCTGGATGGAGTAGAGGAGGAGCAACTGATGAATCAAGTCGTCCGAGCTGGATGCTGCTTCGCGCAGTCTAGCCTGTACGAGCGAGATGCTCTCCTGTCCCAAATCTTTCGCATCGACGAACTGCTCGCCGAGAAAAGCAGTCAAGCTGTGACCCGTCGATGCGCCAGCTGCTGCAAGGCGTGCAGAAGCAAGAGTTTGCGTGCCACTGGACGTGGGAGCGTCGCCGTCGTCGCGGTCGTCGTCGTCGTCGTGGGAGAGGATGGTGTTGATGCTGCGTTCTAGATGAAGAGGCAGCGCAGAAGGCAGCGAGGCTGCTGCGCTCGTCTGCGTGTTGGACTGTGCGACATTGTGCGGTGCGGAAGAGGTGGAAAGGCTTGGCTGCGCGGCTGCTGCTGCACTTGGGAGCGTGGAGCTGAGAGCTGCGGCACTCGACATGCTTCGCCTGGGTGGTGGGTGGAATGGAGAGGAGAGGAGAGGAGAGGATGCAGCTTGGCAATGTATCACACTTGCACGCCCATTTGCCCGCTCGCTCGCTCGCTCGATGCCCTCCCCTCCCAGCACAGTGACGGTTCAAGCGCTGCTTCTGCTTCGTTCGAACGAGACCTCGCTCGGCTGGCGAAGGTCGAGGTGAGCTGCGCAACTTTAGAATCTGTCCTGGTCTAGCAACGCTCTTTGTCTGCCTACGAAGGGCCGCTGAGGATGGCGAACCAGTCGAGGGCTTGAGTGCGGAGTGCGTGGTGCGTGGTGCGTGGTGCGCGGTGCGGTCTGCGTGGTGATGATGGCTTGTCGTCAAGCTGTCGATCCCTTCATCTCATCCACACATCAAAAAGGCTGCACGCAATTCGCCAGCCCTTCACGATTCACGACTCGCACATCCCAGCATCGCCCACACGCGCTTGCAGCAGCAGAGGTGGGTGGATGATGTCCGTGCGTTGTGAGGGCCGAGTCTTGATCGAGTCTTGAGTGTAGCATTTCGCACGCAGCCGGCACGTGATCGGCGCAACTGTGCCCCGCGAATCTCGACTGCACGCACGCGCGGCCGGTGTCTTGATTGAAGTTTTCACGCAAAGCTCGGCGGCAACGGCAATCGAGGATGCAGGACGTCTCTGCTCTGCTCTGCTCTTCATCATCATCCACCATCATGGGCCGCTGCTGCAGGCCCACCTCGCAACGTGCTAGTCGTGCCATTGTCACATCACACGTAGCCCTCGAAGCCCATCAATAGGATCACGCTTGCTCTCCCCTTCCATTCCCGCGCCGCGCCGCGCCGTGGCCCCCTCCGTCCAAAGGCGGAGCTTGGCGCTTCTCATGCCAGCGAGCCGCATCTCGTCCGCCTTTCTAGACCAATCACAGTCATGCCCGCACTGACAGCCTCACCAAGCGCTCCAATCTCGCAAGATGATGCCACGCCTCCCAGTGTCAAGTCCAGGAAACTGAAACGATCAGCCGCAGCATCCACTTCCAAAGGGCGTCCAAAGCCTTACGCTTGCACCTACGCAGGCTGCTCGCTGGCTTTCCACGCTCCAGCCAGGCTAGCCGAACATGCTCGGCGACATACTGGAGAGGTGAGTGGTGCATCTTGTGTTGCGGTGGCAAAACTCCGTCGTTGAGAGCCATGCCGCTCACCTTTCGTCATCGTCTTTTGCCTTCCGCCTCCCACCAAAAGCGACCCTTTGTATGCGCACACCCAGGCTGCGCAGCTTCTTTCACTCGCACGCATCATCTCAATGTGCATGCCAGGGTTCACGCAAATGGCAGCACCTCCACCGCAATCGAGCAAAGTGCCAGTTCTGCAACCAAGCCGTCCCGCGCGCCAGCGGCAGCGACACAGCATGCGGGCGGAGAAAACGAGACGGATCGATCTGTGGATGCTGTGCTGGCGAGTGGGTGCCGAGACGCATTTGACCAGCCACTGCGACGATCTGCCGATCTGGATGGTTCGCAGACTGCTGCAGCATCTGTTCCCCAGCCGGCAGCGCCCCAGAGGAGCTTCATATGCAGCGCTCCAAAGTGTCGCCTCGCCCTGTGGACCAAGCAGCATTTGCAGAGGCACGAATCGACGTGCGACAAAGTCAGAGCTCTACGTTTAGGCAAGCGAGCTGCATCGAGCAACGCGCATCAGTTTGGCTTGGATGCGACGTCGACAGAGGCTGAGAGCGAAGTTGGAGAAGATGAGCCGGTAGATATGCGAGCGGGCGAGGAGGTGATTACGGATAAGGAGCGGCAAAGCGCAAGCGACGCCTCTGCAGCGCGCACACAGACTGGTGGCCAGTGCGGGCTGGCCGCCGCTTCAGACGCAGATGTGACAGAAGCTGAGATGGTGAGAGCAGGCGACAGTGGCAGGTCCTACAATAAGCAGAGAGCAGATAGGAGCTGGCTGGTGAGTCTCTCGTGATGACTGATGGAGCGAAATGAGAAGAATTTGCGCTGACCCCTGACCGCTCGAATCAGTGCAAAGAACCCGATTGTGGAAAGACCTTTCGGCAAAGAAAACATCTTCGCGCTCATCTCTGGGCGGCGCACAGCGCTACGCCTCATCTCTCACCACACATTTCCAACTCTGGATTCGTAGCCGACGCAGCTGATGCCCCGGATGTGGATGGCAAGGTGCGCAAGCCTTTTCCCTGTAGACATGAAGGCTGCCCAAGAGCCTACTTGACGGCGAAGCTCAGAGCATCGCACGAAAAGATACACCAAAAGGGCAGATACGTGTGCGTCTTGCCACATGACCCGGGCAAAGAGCTGCAGGATGAGGAGAATGAAGCAGAGCTTCAAACGAACGGATCTCTGGCCTTCAACACTTGGAGCTCTCTGCAGCGACACATCAAGGCTGTCCATCCGCCAACATGCCACTTTGAAGGGTGCGGGAGGTCATTTGAGAGCGCCAAGCAGCTCAAAAGGCACTTGTCCAGGCACACACAACTACCTAGACCTCATCGCACCCTCGTCTCAGCTTCGGAGGCGGAGACGGATTCGAAAGCGAGCGTCAAGAGTGCGCGCGCTGCTGCTGCTGCTGCGGATATGGACGTTGAGGCCGAGACGAGCTGCCAAGAGGAAGTTTCGAGGGGCATGTACGCTTGCACCTGGACCGACACTTTGCAGGCAGTCCCAATCACACGCAAAGGCTCCAAGAGGCGCAGCAAGAGGCTCGCGTGCAGACGGGTATTCAGGAGTGCAAGAGCCAGGGACGACCACGTCAAGGTCTTCCACCTCGAGCAGCGAGACTTTGCCTGCGTGCCCGAGTGCGGGAAAAGGTTTGGATACGCGCATTTGCTCAGTCGACATCGCAAGAGCTGCAAGCATGTTGTGCAAGGCGTGGTGGGCGATGATGGCGCTAGCGCGAGGCGGACCGGCGGCGATCGTGCTTGTGCTCGAGCGCGTGGCTCGAGTAGCAGCAGCAGCGACGACGAGACCGAGGGAGAGGCCGAGAGGCATGCCGCTATTCATCGACGCGACGTGTTCCCGTCGCGATCCGACCGTAGCTCTTCCGCGAGCAGCAGCATGGCAGACGAACGGGATATGGACAGCGAAGAAGAGGATGCGTTTTTCCGACGCGAAGGAGGAGCAGTGCCCGAATCGCACGCCGAAAGAGGTCGCGCGCCCGTCCGAAAGTCTCTGATCGCCACGGGTGATGCTGGTCGGCGTGCTGCTTCGGCGCAACTCGCACCTCGCGCTCTGGCTGGACTGCTTACTGGGCACGGATACGAGCAAGGCTTTGAAGATGCGCCGCGCAATGTGGCCGTCTGGTCCGGCTCGACCAGTCGAAGTTTGCAAGCCAATATCCGTGGCGTTGCGCGCGGAGCGAAGCGCGAGCGCGACGAGAGCGAGAAGGAGAGCGGAAATGGAAGGGATGAAGAGATGAGCCTAAAGGGACGATTGGGTATCGGCGGGCATAGCAAGAAGCGCATCAGGGGAAGGGTGCTTTGTTGTCCTTATGAGGAAATACGCAAGATGCTCTCGGCTAGAGAAGCAGACGATGACTCTGCGGGCGAAGAGGATGCTGGAGGCGCCGCGGCGATCAGCGCAGAGCCTCGCGCGGGTCCGACGCGCACGAACTGCTCGAACACCACCGCGCCTGCCTCGCCGCAACGGTGCCAGTACAGATTCTCGAGACTGTACGATGTCAGGAGGCATCTGCTCGCTGCTCACGACTGTCTAGTGCCGGATCGAGACATTTTGCTGGCGCTGCCCAAAGAGAACATCGAGAAGCTTCCCATGCCTGAAAGTGGCCGGGGCGAAGTTTGAGGCTTTTTTGCGGCGCAGGGGCGACGCGAGGACACGGCGGGGTAGTACCTGCCCTAGCTTCTTGCGGCATTTCCCTCTTTTCAACGATCCATCCCAGGCACCCCCCCCTCAACTCTTTGGCTGGACATTTTTTCTCTCTCCTCGCGGGAGATTCGCTGAGAAGATGGCGACACCTTTCAAGCCCACATCGTACCCACGTCCCGACTCACCTCGCCTCGTCCCACGTTACATGCAAATCTGGAGGCGCTTCGATAGAAACTTTGAAAGTCTTCATCGAGCGCGAGACTTGCAAGCACCACATCCGAACGCTCAGTTCCATACTGAACGTCCAATTACTCGCACGCCTCGCACGCCTCGCACGCCTTGCACGCCTCGCACGCCTCGCACGCCTTTCCCAACAATCCGGTCGAGAGCAACAGTCAGGCCTTTTGTCCCATCAGCCATTTGTATTACCCCCTTGACGCGCCGCGCATCATTCAACAACCCATGACACCCCAACCCAATAGAGATGACTTTTGAGCCCTGCCTCGCGCGAGCGAGGCAAGATGCGGGCATCGCATCGCGATCAGGGGGGCCAGTTTCCCGACAAGCGCTCCGGGACCATGTGGTCCGTCATCGTATCGCACGGAGCGCAGTGGTGGAGTTTCGTCAGCCTCAAGAAAGAGGAGGGGAGCAAGGACGTTTGATCGGGAATGGAGCGCCGGCCCGGTCCAGCTAGCCGCGCGCCGCCGGGCACCCCAATTTTCCCTCGGCTGAACGTGACGATTTTCATTCAATCAACGCGAATGAATGTCCCGATCGATTCCTGGATTCTTAGGTCCCAAAAAGAACCGGCAAAATCCCAAGCCAAGCACTGCACGGGGCGCGTCCATTTCTTCTTCTCTCAAAAAAGAACGACGAAAGTTCAGCATTGCTCGGATCGAGAGGGTCGCGATCGGGGGGGGGGGGGGGGGGGGGAAGAACGAAGGACTTTTGCGCCCCCGCCCCCCCCGCAAAGCGATGCGATGCGATGCGGCTCGAGTGGGCATGCTGCTCACTGGCTTTCTCGGCTTTCGCGACTTACGATGCCCGAGTTACGAGAAAAGCGAGGGCAGCGGGGAGGGGGCGATGGGGTGGGGCACGCCGTGGGTCAAAAGTCTTACCAGAGAGGAGGGGGAGGGAGGGGGCATTTTACTTGCGAGTCGGAGTGGGAGTCGATGGCTGATGCAACAAAGAGTCTATGCGGGACCGTGCTGGAGCTGGAGCTGGGCTGGGCTGGGAGCCACCTCCGCCCCGCTCTTCCCGCCCTTTCGTATGAACATTTTCCCGCCAGAAATTATACCCCGATCGGCTTGTTCATTTCCCCCCGTCATCCTTTTCCGATCACAGCCGAAACGCATTCATTCTCCCGCCTTGCAATTTTTTCCTTTGCTTTGCTCGCAAGTGGCGCTGCCGATGATCGTTGGGCGCTACGGCTAATATGGCCGCGTACGACACAGGACTCCCGCAAGGTAGCGAAGAAGGTGTTGTGGCCAAAATAACAAAGGAACAATGGAAAGCAAAATGATCATCATTGTCGCATCCCCCCCTTCCAAATTTCCAAAAAATTTCCATCGCATGGGTTCCCCCATTCCCTTCGCGTCCAGTTTCTCCACTCCAGGCCTCGCTCGCTCGCCCGCTCCGTCCTGCTCCTCTGTCTGAACTCGAGAATTCGACGGACACGTTTCGATGAGAATGACCCCCGCAGGCCCGACCAACGTCTTTTCCCCCGCTTTCCCTCTTTCCGCTCCCCCCCTGGGCCTTCTCGGCTGATCATGCCTCCGCGCCTACTTTTTGACTTGACCTAGACCGGCGGCGTGTTCAGCGGCCGCTGAAGTGAAGCAGCGAGAGGGTGTGTGCAGGAGAGGGAGAGAGAGAGAGGGCGGGGCGGGAGAAGATGCGTGTGCGTGTGTGTCAGCGAGCACTTCGGATGAACAAGGGGGGGGGGCGCGTCGACCTCCACCTTCCTCCCCTCTAACCTTCCTCCAGCATCCCTTTGCCCCAAGCCCCCTCCCCCAACCTCTTGCGCCTCTTTCCTTTCCCCCTCCCCGCAACCCTCGTGCGCATCGCAGCTCGGAAAAGGAAACGAGGAGGCAACTTTTTGCAAGACAGAAGCAAGGGACCAAAACTCACCTTGAATCGTCCTCGCAACCGTGCTCCTCACTTTTCCATCTTCCAAATTCAACAATCCTGCAATCGTGCAGCCTCCAGGAGCTGTGCGGGGAGGATAGGAGGAGAGGAGAGGAGAGGAGAGGGGTGGGCGAGGGCGAGGGCGAGGGCGCAGAAGACTTAGTCCGGGGCAGGAGCGCAAAGGTCTGTGCGCGCAACGCAACGCTAGAGGAGGAGTGCGGGGAGTGCGGGAGGGCAAGGGGGGCAAACTCAAACTCACTGGTCACGCTATCTTTGATGGAAGCAGGATGAGCGCCGGATTGCAGGACCATCCTAGCCGCACCTTGCATAGCTGCATTGCATTCGACGCGACGCGCGGAAGAAGCAAAGAAAGGAAAAAAAAGGAAAAAAAGCAAAAGTGTTGCATTTGATCGAAAGGAAGATGAAGGCAGACGCAAAAGGAGGTTTGAGCGGATCGTCTCTCTCTCGCCTTGTCAAGCAAACGCGACGTCCATCCGCGCAACACGCCAAACCCCAGCAGTGCACTTCTCCCTCCGCGCAACGCAACTCACACTGAGCAGCCAACTCCAAGGCTTCCTTTCTAGGCAAACCCATCATCACTCCCCCATCCGCCATCGCTTCCAAAAAGACGCAAGCGAATGCAGGTCCGCTACCAGCCAATGCCGTCGCAGCATCGAAGTGCTTCTCGTCCAAGAATCTGCACTTGCCTATCGCGTTGAAGATGCTCAAGAGACGCGAGCGAGATTGCGCGTGCGACGACGAGGAGGAGGAGGAGGAGGAGGAGAGGGGTGGTAAGGGAGTGAGGACTGTCATGCCTTCCCTGATCTGGCGGGGGGAGGGGCAAAGCGAAGTGCAGCAGGTGAGCAAAGGAAGTGTGTCAAGGCGAGAGAGATGAGGAGGGGTGGCGTAATGGGGACCTTGCTGGTGCCGCTGCTGCTGCTGGTGCGCGTGCCGCCGCCGCTGCCGCCGCCGCTCACCTTGCTGGGCGTATTGGGCATAGCCCTGACCACGGTGGAGCTGGGATGAAGGCAAGCTGCAATCTGTTGTATTCTCAATCCCGCACAAATGCTAATCACCAATTTGCCCTTCAAAGCATCCTGCATGCCCTGCTCTCGCAGGATATCCGCCACCATGTGAGGCTTGCAAGCCAACAACACCACATCGCTTCGTCGCGCTGCCAAGAGGTTATCGCCCACGACCACCTGCACGCTCCCCTCCTCGCCCTCGCGCTCATTTGCGAACAGGCTCTTCAACCGTCGACCGCTCTCCTGTCGCGCCACACAAGCATAAAACGTGCTAGGCAAGTACTTCAACTCCATCCTCCTACGCTCCTCCTCCTCCCCTCCCTCTCCTCCTCCCTCTCCCAACAAATCAGCAACGCTCTCCGACAACGCTTCGTTGGCAACGTCTGTTCGAGATTGCGCTGCTTGAGATTGCTGCGCTTGGGATTGGAGTAGGGCAGCTGCGGCGAAGGCTTTGGAGGAGGCTAGGATACCGCTGAGAATGGCTATTCCCATCGTACCGCAACCCACGATACCCAGCGCGTAAGGTGGTGGTCCCACAGCACCGCCCGCGCCCGCGCCCGCGTTCGTGCCCGCGCCCGCGGACTCTGCCACGGATGATGGGCTCTGCGAGGTCCTGCTGCTCGACATGGTGTGTCTTGTTGCCAGGCGGATGCAGGCGAGTGTGGGGAAGCGATGGTGTGAGGTTGGAGAGTGCGGGTGCGTGTGCGGGGTGCGGGTGGCAAGCAGGCGATGATGGGTTGAAAGGCGCGGGTGAATAATCGTGAATAAACAAAAAAAGGTTGCGCCAAAGATTGTGTGGGATGTCTAGCGATGGGCTGTTTGTTTGAGAGCAGAGGATATGTGGGGGAGATGTGCGCATCGGAGGATGTGGCGAGAAAGCAACACAAAAAACAAAAAGTCCGCAGCTAGCTGGCTTGGCTCCCTTCAAGAGTCTTGAGTCTGATGAGAAGTCGAGGATAGTCACGAGTCACGAAGTCACCAAGTCACGAGTTTGACATTTAAATTTTGATTCCGATTCAAAATTCTTGATTCCACGTTTTCCATTTAGATTTCTCCTCTTCTCTCTCTCATCAGATTGAAACACAAGATTTGAATCGTGAATTCTTTTCGCATTCAAGATTCAATTTCTTTCGATTCGAAAGTGTGATCACGTGATTCTCTGCGCGGGCTGCTGCGTTGCGTCGCGGGAAAATTCGCATGCCCGCATGCCCGCATGCCCGCATGCCCGCACCGCACCGCACCGCCACCCTGCTGCACCCTGCACCCTGCACCCTTGCCTCGCATTTCGCTCTTCGCCCTCCACCCAAAGGCCTGCCCTGTCTGCATGCATGCAGCTCGATCGATCGAGCAAGCGTTCAATGGCCATAATCCAACACTCGCGACGCGACTCTGACTCTCTCTTTCGCGCTCACAACTCCGCACCCCGTCGCCCACGCAAGACATCGATCCATCGCTCGATCGATCGGCGTTCTCTGTCCGCTGCTGCCTGCTGCTTCTGCTGCTGCTGCTGCAGGCACCGACACGTCTGGCTCTCCCCGATCTCCGTGCGCTGGCTCTCGCTCTGGCTCTCCCTCGACCATGTCCACTCCCCACGCCCACGCCCACGTCCCCTCCCCACCCTCATCGTCATCCAATCACGCTCAAATCTCCTCCCCCACATCCCTCAGCACACCATCATCATCCTCGCCCTCACAGCATCCACAGACACAGACACAGTCACGCAGCGCCGAGTCGAATCAAGACGAAAGATCCAATCGTATCCTCCTCTTCTCCTTTGCGCCCGTCTTGAACAGTGCGCACGCACGCGCACGCGCACGCACGAGCACCAGCACCGATGATCGTCGTTGTATTGCTCAGCTGAAAGCTGTCGCCAATTGTAAGTTCTTGTTGATGCGTGCGCTCGCTCGCTCGCTCGCGAATGCGCCTGCCTTGAAAGTCTTGCCCATGCATATAAAGCTGAAGCGAGAACACAACTCCCTCGGCCGCCTTGATCGCTTCGCCTCCAGCCATCATTTACGCTCCAGCGCTTCATCAAGGACTATGCAGCGCAGACGTGCACGCACACGCAGCACCTCCAGTCGGCCACGGCACGGCCCCCTCACTCTTCACCACAACGCACAGCCTCACGCGCGAGCTACTAGAGGAGGCAAAGAAGGAGGGGGAGGGGGATGATGAAGTAGCGTGGGACATCCGGAACAGGTACTACGCAGCCCGCGTACACTTCGCCGCAAGACACGCCACATTCCCGCCTCCCAGCAGCGGCCATGCAGACCTCAGCACAAGCATCGCATCCTCCTCTTCGCCTTTGCTCTCGCCGCCCTCGCTCTCAAAGCTGCTCCCTCGAGCCGCCTTGTCTGGCAAGGATGAAGCAAGCTCTGACTCGAGCAGCAGCAACGAGCAAATCATCCCTTTCGCATCAGCCAACAAAACGTCCAGGCAGAGACGAGGGAGCGAAAGCGTGAAGCAGGAGGAGCAGGAGGAGGAGGAACGATTGCGCGCGGCTACGAAGGATGTGTTTGCTGCGCTAGAGGAACCAAAGCGCGCTGCTGCTGCTGCTGGCCGCACCGTTCCCACTGCCTCCAACGCTCCCTCTGCTCGAGCTCGAGCTCGAGCTGCTGCAAGGGCAAGCCGGTTGTCGCGGGTGGATACAAAGTCTTTACGATTCGAACTGCGAGGTGTGCAAGCGATCATCTTGGTGCTGGACGAAGATCTGGTGAGTTTTTTGCGCGGCGGCAAGCGAGCAAAAGAAGGGGGATGGGGGGGGAAACCTCCCTCTTCTCCCTCTTGCGCTAGCTTAGCAAGGTGAGCATAGGGCTGATCATGAGTGAGCGCATGCGCATACACAGCCTCTCGAGACGCACGAGGAGATTGTGCAGCTCTGCGATCCATCCAGCCATACCGACAACGACACCGACACCAGCGCGGATGAGCACGCACGCGCGCGCGCGCGCGCCCACGCACCAACAACACGTTTGCTAGATTCGTCCAATTTCGCAATCTGCATCCTGCTCCTCCTGCCCAGACCCGTTTCTCCATCCGTCCCGCGCGAGGCTCGCAACCAGCAGCAGCAGCAGTGGAAAGAAGAGCAAAGGGAACGGGTCAGAGAGCTGTGGATCGAGGAGGGTTGGGAAGTGGTGGACCTTTGGAGGGGAATGGGTAGCAGGGTTACGTGGGGGTGGAAGGATGGGATGGAGCTGCGTTCGGATATGGATCGAGATGCGCGAAATGGGGTTGATTGGGCCGAAGAGGTGGAGGAGGAGGATGGGGAGGAGGAGGAGGAGGAGGAGGAAGAGGAGGAGGATGGTTTTTCTCGCATACACGAAGCTCTGCAAGCTCATTTGTGGCCGAGCATGATCCGTCTGGATCAGCGGGTGCTTACGAATGCGAGTGCGGGTGCGGGTGCGGGTGCGCGTGCGGGTGCGCGTGCGGGTGCGCGTGCGGGTGCGCGTGCGCGTGAAAGTCGCACGGACCGAAGCGAAGCTGTTCGCCGAACCGACGGCGCTCTCGCAGCTACTTCGTCGGCACAGATGCGGGAGAAAGACGAACAGCTTGCTCGAGCTTTTTTGGCTCGGATCGAGCGGCGCGAAGCGCAACTGCCTGTGGGACAGGAGCAGGAGCTGCAGGAGCTGCAGGAGGTGGAGAAGGAGCAGCAGCGAGGATCGCATTCGTCGTCTTTCGATATGGACGAATTGGAACAGTTTCTGCGAGAGACGGATCCGGATTGGCCTGCTGAGGGGTCCGCGCTCGCGCTGCTGGATTCTGCTGCTGCTGCTGCTCGTCATGAGCAGCATGACGATGAGGAAGAAGAAGCACTCGGGGCAGACGTCGGCACGAGCACGAGCACGAGCACGAGCGACGAGAAAGCAGCAGCAGCAGCAACAGCAGCGCTTCCACCATCCTTTCTCCCTTTCACACCCCGCCCATCCTCATCCACATTCGACGACGATTTTGACGATTTTGTGAGCGGCGGCGGCGGCGGCGATGTTCGACCTTTGGAGGTAGCGGCGCGCTCGGGCTTGGCGCAAGCGTCCAATCCGAGCGTAAAAGCGAGCACCAACGCGCGGCGCGCTTTTCCATCCTTCCACGACGACCACGACCACGACGACGACGACGCCGACTTTGTCCCGCTCGACGCTGCTGCTGCTTCGGATGCGAGCGCATCCACGCGCGCTGCGCAAACGCTGCAAGATTTCGACCAGGCGGTGCGATGGTTGCGCGAAGAGAGCGAGCGGGTGAGGAGGGGTGTGGGGGATGATGAGAGGAGAAAGAGAGAGGCTGAGAGGCTTGCGCTCAGAGCGATGCAGGTCTTTTTTGAGCATTGAAATACACTGCTGGCTTGCGGGTGGAGAGTTTCGCGAGTTGGCAAAAGTTCGCAAAGGATGGCGCTGCGCGCGCGCGCGCCGGGGGGGGGGGGGGGGGGGGGGGGGGGGGGCGGACGACGAAGAGTCGATGAACCTAAAGAGAGAAAGAGAGAAGGCTCTCTTCGGCATGAAGTGAAGAGCTGATCCCTGCGCTTCGATCCTTCGTCAATCTGCTTGCGGGCGGCAGGGCGCACAAATGCACAGCACATTCCACGAATGCCCCACTCCACCCCCCCCCCCCCCCCCCCCCCCCCCCCCCCCCCCCCCCCCCCCCCCCCCACCCCTCACCTCATCGCTCGACGCTTGCCGATTCTCGGGCGGAGGGGGACGGGACGATGCAATACGAGCCCTCATCGGAGGCGCAAAACGACTTTTTGCACAAGGAGCCCAAAAAGGGACAAGAGAAGGAGAAAAGAAGAAAAAGAAGCTCCATCGTCGCGCAAAGAGAGAGAGAGAGGGGAGAGAGAGAGAGAGAGAGAGAGAGAGAGAGAGAGAGAGAGAGAGAGAGAGGAAGCACAGGAAGCTCCATCGTCGCGCAAAGAGAGAGGGAGGGAGGGCGAGAGAAAGCGCAGGGGACTCATCGCGGACAGGAAGAGGAGGGGCAGGATAGAGTCGAGCAAGCAAGGCAGAGCACAGAGCAGAGCGGATTGGGCGCGAGGCGGCAAATTCTCCTCTTTTTTTTTTTATTTTGCAGGGGCCGAAAGGAAGAGCCACTTTCGCTGACCCCAAAGAAAAGGGGAGAGATCAAGTTGGAGAGGTACAGACGTGGTTTCGCGATAGGGTGAGTGGGAGGGAGGGAGGCAGATCAAAACCTGATAGATACATTGTGAGTAGCATGCGGGCGGGGCTCGGCTAAAGGCCGTGGGCCCCTCTCTTCTTGTAAACGAAAACAAAAACAAAAAAAGAGACGTGCGGTGCGGTGCGGTGCGGTGGATGATTGTGGGGCCCGGGTCAGAAGCTCGGCTGAAGGCCGTGGGCTTCTTCTTCTTCTTCTTTTTTTTTTTTTTTTTTTGATTGCTGGGTAGGGAGGGTATGCCTACGATGCATGGCTCGCTCTGCAAGGAAAAAGACTTTTGCTCGTCATGAACCTGGTGGGGTGGGGTGACGTGGACGCGGACGCGGACGCTGGTTGCAGTTGTTTGTTTCGCGCTTGCTGCTGCTGCTCGTGGAAAATGTGCTCGTGCTCGGGTGCTCTAGGCCTGGAAAGGCAAGACTCGCTCGGCTAAAGGCCGTGGGCGGGGGTCTTTATGTGGGAAAAAGAAAAAGAAGGAAAGGCGGGGGAAGAAAGCATTCTTTGCGGTCGTCGGGAGGGGGGGCGGCGCCACTTGGAAAGGGGGGGCGGCGCCACTTGGAAAGGAGGATTTGGAAAGCAGATTTGAGGGAACACTTGGAAACGAAGACGGAGTCGCCCTCCTGCTCAGGTCTCGCTGACGGGCGGGACGACGGAAGCTTCTTGGCCTTCTTCGCCCGGAATAACGTCGAGCGTGTCGATTTCGAGCAAAGACTGACGGATCATCTCCACTCCTTTGCGCAGATCCTCTTCGCTAATGACGAGGGGGGGTGCCAGACGGATGATATTGACGTGGGTGGGCTTTGCCAAGAGACCCTTGGATTTGAGCAGCAAGCACAATTGCCACGCCGTTCTTCCCTTTTTGGAAGCGGCGTGATCGATGACGATGGCGTTCAGCAAGCCTCTTCCTCTGACGGCGCTCAGCATGGGACACTCGCCGCTCTGCTTCAAAGCGAGCAGATCCGCGCGGAACTTAGCTCCTAGCATCTCTGCTCTTTCCGAAAGCTTCTCGTCGATGAGCACATCCAGCGCTGCGGATGCTACCGCACAACCGAGCGGATTTCCTCCGTACGTCGATCCATGCTCTCCGGGTTGGATGACGTGCATGATGGATTTGTCGGCCAGCACTGCGCTCACTGGGTACACTCCGCCCGAGAGCGCCTTGCCGAGGGTGATCATGTCCGGACGAATGCCATCGTGCTGGACCGCCAGCATCTTGCCCGTGCGACCCAGACCGGTCTGGATCTCGTCGCAGATCAACAGGACATTGTGCTTGGTGCACAATTCGCGCACTCGTTGCAGATAGCCAGCGCTAGGAACGACGATGCCAGCTTCTCCCTGAATAGGCTCCACCAAGAATGCGCACACTTTCGAGCCGTGCTGCTCCAACACTGCCTCCAGATCTTCGGCGTGATCGTAGCGGATCTTCAACTCGCCGATGCCCGGTCCGACGCCTTGCAAAAAGGGACCGAAACCATCTCGAGATTCTTCGTCGGTGCTCATGCTCACGATGCCGAGGGTGCGTCCGTGAAAATTGCCGGATACGGAGAGGATGTGCGCATGACCAGGTTGGATGCCCTTGACCTGATAACCCCACTTGCGCGCCAACTTCAACGCCGTCTCGACCGCCTCTGCGCCCGTGTTCATGGGCAGCACGCTCTCGTATCCAAACAGCTGCGTCACCTTTTGCGCAAAGGGACCGAAAGCGTCGTTGTAGAATGCTCGAGAGGAGAGGGTGAGACGAGAAGCTTGCTCCACCAAAGCCGACACGATGCGCGGATGACAGTGTCCTTGATTGACAGCGCTGTAGGCAGAGAGAAAGTCCAAGTAGCGTCTACCTTCTGGATCCCACACGTGTGCACCTGCACCGCGTGAAAAGACCATGGGAAGAGGGTGGTAGCTGGGGGGGGAGGGGGGGATGGTGATTGGATGCGGGCGTGCGCGGATGAGCAAAGTAAGCAGAGCAGCGAAAAAAGAGACGCACGCGCGCGCGCGCACGCACGCACGCAATGCCAACTCCCACCGCCCTCCTTGCCCCCTCCTCCCAGCTGGCTTTCATTGCAGGGGAAACTCACTTGTGCGCACCATACTCGTGCTCCAAACCCATCACCTCTTTGCTTCCCATCTTTTCGCCCTGCGTGCCGGTGAGCGGTGCAGCGATGGCAGCGCCGATGCTAGAAGCTGCAACTTTGCCGCCCAGAGCAACGCTGGACAATTTGTTGCTGGTTAGATTGACCAATTGCGCTGCTGCGTCGCTGGTGGTGGTGGTGGTGGTGGTGGAGGATTGGACTGCTGCTGCATCTTTGTTATTGGCGAAGGGCGAAGCGCCGTTGGATCCGCCATCGCCTAGCGCTGTTGGAGCCATGCTTGATAAAGACGACGGGGGGCGAGGGGAGGGGAGGGGGGGGGGCGCGCGCGCGAAAGCGAGGATGATGTAGGATGGAATATAAAGTTGCTTGTTTGAAGGCGCTGCTTGTGGTTTCAGCGTGAGAAGGGGCGATGCGGTGCGGTGCGGTGTGCGGGAATGAAAGAGGTGGTGGAGGCAATGTTGGAATGTTGTGCGTGTGCGTGTGTGTGTGTGCGTGTGTGTGTGTGTGTGTGTGTGGGATGGGATGGGGCAAAGAGGTGAGTTGCTGCTTCTGGCCTGCGTGCGCGCGTGAGCATAACCACTTGCATGCGTGTTCGCCCACGGTATGTATGTACTCTTGACTCGCGAGTTGCCTAGCCCCATTCCATTAGCTATAGCTGCTGCATCATGTGCCTTGTCTGCCTCGCAACGACCATGCATCAGCCCAACCAACCAAGCGTGGGCTGATGGAGAGCCTGGCTGCATGGCTGCATGGCTGCATGGCTGGCTGGCTGGCTGGCTGGCTGTGACTGCTGTGGCTTTCGCTCTTTCCCTGCTGCCACTGCCACTGCCGCTGCCACTGCCACTGCCACTGTTGACAGCGGCATGAGCCCATACAACCGCCATGCAACCATGCAGCAAAATACAGTACACGGGCCCCGCGGCGGGCCGGCGCACTGCGATGGATGCGACTGCATGCTGCATGCATGGAGACCTTATTGCGCGTGACTTGGTCAAGCGGCGCGCGGGCGCGGCGCGGCGTGTTTTCCCCCGCCAAGACTCGATTCGGAACTCTTGACTTCCCATGCAAACGCTGCAAGACGACTCACGACTCACGACTTCTCTAGCTGTGACTGCTGGCGATATGTGCAACATTCAACGCAAGGTGCGAGGGCATGCTGCTCGCTGCTCCTGATCCTCCTGCTGCTGCTGCTGCTCTCTTTTTTTTTTTTTTTTTTTATATACCTTGCCGGTGGGGCCGCTGGGTGGGTGCGTGCCTGCGTGCGTGGGTGCGTGCCTGCGTGCGTGGGCAACCAGGCCATCATGCAGGCAAGCAGGCATGCAGGCAGGCAGTCATCAGCATAGTGGCCGCGAGTCACGCCCTCTGACGCACGCATGCTTGTGCGCGCGTATCCATGCAGGGCCCATGCATTTGCTCTACGGATAAGCTCCAAGATGGAGGCTCGCGCGGTGCATCGACCGCAAAGGTATAGGTGAGGCGCGGGTCGTCATGCAGTGAGTGTGGCAATTGACATGCCAAAAAACTGTAGTCAAGAGTCACGAGTGTGAGTATCGATCGATCGAGTCAGCGCGCCTCTTCTGCTGCCCCCCTTCCTGCTGCTTAATTCACGTGATTGCTGATGCTGCTGCTGCTGCGCGCAACGTATTCAGCGCGCTACTCCGCCGGCCGTATATCTCGCAGCCCTGCTGCACGCATGCATGCACATGCTGTCGGGGCGCACGCGAACTTGGCCCGATTTCAGACCGACAATGACTCTTCACGTGATACTGCTCGTCGTGCGGGGAAAAATCTAGACGCTTCGCGAGGGGCAGAGAGGGAGAGAGAGAGAGAGAGCATGTGCGACTATAGTAGTAGTAAGTAGTGTTGCGTGCACGGACGCTCTTTGTCTGCGAAAGGGACAACCGTGCACTGATTCAGGGCGGTGCTGAGCTGCGTGCGGCGACATTGTGAGAAGAGGAAGGAGCTTCAAAAGCCGCGCGACGATCGATCCAGCTTTCCCCCTCTCTCGCTCGCACCAACCTTCTGTTCGCACGCGCCATCGCCTCCCACGTTTCTCGCAGCACAAGGCAAAAAGCTTGACGCTCGATCGATCGCGCTCGCGCACAAATATTGCGTCACAAGTCCGCACGGACACCCCCTCCCCCCCCCCCCCCCCCCCCCCCCCCCTCCTTGACTCCTCATCCAACGCCCGCCGCACACATCTACCCCGCACCGCTCATCAAACTCTTGAAGCGCAAACACTCGCTTCCAAAACAAAATTTTCAAGAGATGCAAGCAAATACGAACAACTCCACTTCTAGACCTGACGCGACGACGCATCAGACCGTAGCCCTTTCATCCGAAAAGGAATTGGACAGGCTTACACAGCTCAACTTTGAAGAGCTCAAAGAGGAAGAGGAAGATGATGGTGAGTCACTCCCCACTATCGCAGCATCTCCCACACCACTGCATGACGGCGAGGGGGCCGCATGTGTCATGCGCGACGACGACACCAGACTCACTCTTGCGCTGTCCCCTTCCGCGCACTCGCGCTTCGATTAGCATACAAGCTGCTAGAGCTTTCGTCCGCAGATGCTTGGAGCATGGGCAATGCGCTCCGATCTTCCGCACTAGCCCTGCTCTCGCGTAGACGAGATGTGACCAAGCCTGGCTTGGTCTTTCGCATTCAATTGCTCTCCGGCTTGGTCCTCTTTCAGATCAGTCTGGGCGCAGAATCAAGTTTGAGATTGATGGAGATGGTGGAGAAAAAGATCAATGTCGGTGAGTGTGCCCAGGCGCACCGAGGGGGGACACAGTCGTTCGGTTGGGGGCGGCAGCGATAGTAGTACCTTTCCACACGCCTGACTGTGCTTCCCTCTTTCGCCCCCCTTTCCTCTCGGTGTCATCTTGCATTGCAAAAGTGCGCACCTACTCCCACTCTTCCCTCGCCATCGGTCGCAAGTTGCTTCAACAAGGACGCAGCATCGACTCTTTGGGTCCAGAATACGCAGCGCACGGAGGCGCTTTTCCCATTCGTGTAGCAGGTCTGGAAGCGCCCGTAGCGGTGGTGGCGGTATCGGGTTTGGATCAAGAGACGGATCACGCCTTGGCTAGAGAGGCTGTTCGGGAGATTGCGGAGAGGCAAAAGGCTGCTAGAGCCGCAAAGGCAAGGGAGGAGATGGATCTGAGCAAGAAGCAAGTCTGAATCCGGGGTGAATGATTTCCCTTACAGAGTGAGAGAGAGAGAGAGAACAAAAGAAAAAAAACGTCGGCACTCTCCCGAAACAATCGTCGCGTGGTCCAAGAACACAAAAGTGTCGTCTCTCTTCCCCCACCTTCCCTAGGCTTTTGCTCGTCTCTTTCCCCATCGTAGCCAGCTTCGGCGCCTCGCCTCGCCTCGCCTCGCCTCGCCTCATCCAGAACAATCATGTGAACACCCATCTGCATCCGTCACCCGCTCCATCATCAGCCCTCGCCTCGAGTGAATCTAACCAAGCAAAGCCGTGAAATACCAAAAAAAAACACAAAAAATAACAAAAATACAAAAAACGATTCTCTACCACACTACCCCCCTTGGAGATGGATGCAGCCGAGCATCGCGTTCGTTCAAAAGGGGGGGCAGCAGCAGCATTTCAAACTTGCCTTTGTAAGCGCAACGAGGCTGCGGTCGGATTGGATGAAGATGATGAGTTGGTGGCTGTGGTGGAATTTCGCCAAAAGGCGCAGTAGGAAAGGGGTTCAGAGAAGCACGAGCGTGGCGAAAGAGAGAGAGAGAGAAGAGGATATCGCTTTGGCGTAGCACGCACGGACCGCTTTGGGGCGCCCCCTGGCTGGCGAGCGCAACAATCATGTTTGCCGAGGGAGGCGAGCAAGCGATACGGGTATATACCTACGCTGATACGGGAAGGCGCGGCGCAGCTCGCCAGCAATATCTGCTCCTCTGCGCTCGTCCTTTGAACTTCCCCCAGCTCCGCGTCCGCGTATCGGACTTGGCTTTCCGTTCCTGCCAAAAACGGGTCGCTAAGCTATCGTCCCAGCCCCGGCCCCGGCATCCTGGCAATGCCCAAGCGTCACGTCAGCGTTTAGCATAAGCGTATCGTAGCGTCCACGTCAGCGTCAGCGGCGGCAAGAGTGGCAAAGGCTGGCTGGCTGGGCCCATTGGTCAAGCGCCACTCACTCACTGTCGACTTAATTGGCCGCCCAGCACAAGCTCCTGCGCGGCGTCGTCGTCGTCGTCGTCGTCGTCGACCGAGCTTGCGCCCCCCCTTCTGCGCTGCTTGCCGAGTGCGCGCGATGCCCCACGCAACAACGCCACCATGCCCAAACTCCCCCACGAAGCGTTCAAACGCCTTGATTTTCTGTGCTTACGAGGGCCGAGGGGAGGGGGGGGGGGGGGGGCCAAAACTTGCTGAGCGGCTGGCTTTCCCCGCTTTCGCACCCTCCTCCGGACAAAGTCTTGCGCTTCCCCATTGCCACGCACGGCAGGGGCAAAGCAGGTGGCGGACGCTGAGGCACATGTTTGCATCAGTGTGAGTGCTCTCCCCCCCCTCTTCTCTGTTTCAGCATACCAGCGCCTCCGATCCGTCCGGGCGGAGCACTTCGCTTCTCGTCTCCGCGGAGCTGGGGCTACGCAGGTGCATTTGGCACCGGCAGCGGCGATCAAGGCAGCTGCACAAGGCCTGGCAACCCGGAAATCAAGGTCGCAAGTCCATCTCGCCACTGCAAAGGATAGAAGGCGAAAGGAAGCACCCGAGCAATTCTACGAGGTACAAGTAGGTCCCGTAGGAAGGCGCATGCATGGACGCGAAACGTTTCCCCCTCGCAAAAGTTCTTTTGACGAGTTTCCCCCCATCACTTTCAAGATTCCCCCCGTTCTCTTCATCAAGTGAGTCGTCCGTACCGCATGTATCCGCGAAGTCGCGAGGATAACAAAAGTTCACTCAAATCACCTTTTGCGGCCCATCGCTGCTTCGCGCCGACATGGCCTCCAGCCACAGAAAGCTCTGTCGACGCTGGACGTCGCGCGCGCGCTAGCTACCATGCACATCAAAGCGATCGTCTCTCTGCTCCTCTTTGCCATGTGTACGCAGCTCACCATCGCCGAGCGCTCAGGTGATGATGAGCAGCACCCTTCAATGCAAATGCGCTTCGAGGACTTGCAGCTCAAGCTCAAGCTTCAGGCGTCTCCTCTTCTTCAAAAAGCAAGACCCTCTCGCACCGCAACTTCGCACCTCTCCATCCGAGCCGATCCCTGCAGCAGCAGCAGCAGCAGCATTCCCAGCATCCCCATTTTCCGCCGCCGCAGCAGCAGCAGCAGCAGCAGCTCCCTCCGCTCCTTTTCCTCTTCCTCCCTCCTCTTTCGACGCTGCACCGGCAACTCCGGCACAGACTCGGACGGGGAGTGGGAGGCCAAAAAGCGAGCCAAGGCGGTGAGCAAGGCGCTCAAGAATCTGAGCAACGGTCCTCAGCTGGATGTATGGCCCAGGCGCGAAAGGAGGCGCAGTACGAGCGGAGTATTGCGAAAGCTTGCGAGGTACGTCAAATTTTGGCGCAGGGAGGATGTGCTGGTGAGCGTCGAGAGCAGCATAGTTGCTTGATCTGGCTCGGGCGCCGCGCGCAGCGACAACAAGGAACAGGCGAGTAGCAGGTTCGGGGGGTAGAAGTCTACTTTTTGCCTTTCGAATCACACCTCTTGCCCTCGCTTGCTCGATCCGCTTCCGCATGAACGTGCGACAGAACAGCAATCGCGCAGGGCTATCGGTCCATAGACCCTACGCACCTACCAGACCTTCGGAAAAGCTCTTGGTCGTCCATCAACATTGTCAAGAGAAAGCTGCGACGAGAATGATATTCGAGAAAGCACTACCATTGCGTGATCGTCTTCATCTGCGAAATCTAGTGTCGTGTGGAGATGGCAGGGGTGTCGCGCAGATTTATCTGCAAAAAGCAAGGCTACTGGGCAACTTTTGTAAAGGTACCGAGCATTCTCAGGCGAGCGGGACAGTACCCTTGAAGAAGTTGGTAGGGTCCAAACGCTTCTTGATCAGACGCAGCTTCTGCACATTGGCGCCATAATAGTCTTCTGCCTTTTCTCCGTGCAAAAAGGCGTAGTTGGGATATTGCGGGTGGACGCCTGCAGGTGCCGCTGCGGCGATGCGAGATACGCCGTCTCGAAGCGCTTCGGGTACGCCTGCCAGTGTAGGATCGGGGGAGAGGACCATGAGGCCAATGACGGTCATGTGCTCCCCTTTGTGAGGCCAAGCTACAGTCGAGTCGTCCACGTCGGCAAATACGTTCTGTCGCGCAAAGAAAGAAAGAGAGGGAGAGAGATAGAGAGAGAGAGAGAGAGAGAGAGAGAGAGAGAGAGAGAGAGAGAGAGAGAGAAAAGCAAATAGCGGCCAACATCGCTAGTGAGCCTAGTATCAAGAGTGCTCCGACCCTTGAGCGAAACGACGAACCTTGACAAACGGCTCAAAGAGCAAGACAGTCCCGCCGAATCGAGGATCCTTGGCCACCAATTCACCCTGCCATTGGAGGGCCGCAGCCGCCGTCTTTTCGTCCGAAACTCTGGGCACGACGCTGGTTTGCCAAGCGGCCAGAACACCGGCGGGCGTAGCTCCGCTGTCCTGCAGCTTTCCAAGATCCTCGTAGCTCATCTCCATCATCTGATTGACGAGGGGACCGAGCTTGAGCAGCCAATCGAAATGCTTCTCTCCTTCCGCAGCGCTGCCGAACCAGACCGGAACGACGAGCGTGATGGGTTGAAAATCGGGTGGTGGGGCTAGACTGCCAAAAAGGATGCCTGCGCGTCCATCCTCATTCGTCGAAGTGTAGTTGTGGATCGCTCCGGCAATCTCGACGAAGCGCTCTGCCGGAAAGACCAGCCTGCCACTCCACGCGACTGGTGGCTTGGGAAACGTCTTGAGAGTGACGGAGGTGATGACTGCGAGGGGGGGATACGTAGGCGCCCCCGTCGAGCTGCCAAGTCAACATTCTTGCAGCGAGCGCCAAATTTTCGCTCAATCCCGCTCACCTCCGAAATTGCTGGCTGCGCCTTTAAGGCCAAAAAGAAGCTCGGGGTCGGATGCAGCGTGCACGATGCGGCCATCCGCCAGGACGACCTCTGCGTCGATGATCGAGTCTGAACCTAGGCCGTGCTGGCCTACGAGGTAGCTCAGACCGCCTTGGAGCAGAGGGAGCAGCACGTCAGCAGGTGCTCAGCTCAGCGCATACACGCCTTTTCCTCCATCGCCCTCTCGCTCACCTCCGCCCACGTAGCCACCCACTCCCACAAAGGAGACGCGCCCACCAAGAACGGTGAACTTTTCATCGCGCATCTTTTCGTACACTGTCTGCCAAGTCTGACCAGGACCGAGCGTGACTTGAGATTTGTCGCTGCTGATAGAGTAAGCATCGAGGTGCTTGAGGTTGAGGCTGACGCCCTTGGTCTGCGATTTCATCAGGCCTCCGCTCCGGATGGCCAAAGTTAAGCCCTTGCTGTGCGCGCTCTTGACGGCCAGAGCGACGTCTTGTGCGCTTGTGGGAACAAGCACCACAGCGGGCTGCTCAGCCTCCTGAATGCCCCAAGGCGTATTGAGCGAGGAGAAAGCTTCTCCATCCTTGGCGCTGAGGATTTCGCCCTTGAAGCTGCTGGAAGATTCCAGCGCGCAAGCCAGATCGCGCACGCGTAGATCTTGAATGTCTGACATGATCAGGCAATGCTGATAGTGAAGGATGTTGAGGATGGGAAGGATGAAGGGCAACAGCTTCATCGTGCGTGCAAAAGTAACCCGCCGGACGTGATCAAATCACAGACAGACCAGCTATATAGAGCAATCAGCGCGAATGTTGAACTGCGCACGGACGCCGCGCGTTAAAGCTAGATAGATGCATGCGCGTGCTGCTGCTCTCTTTTGTGGCCTGGCTTGAACCTTGCTTGCTCTTGCGCTTGCCACCTACACACGCCGCGCAGATTTATATACATGTCGACATGCGTCCACTGCATATATGCTGACTTGAGCGCTCTTGCACTCACACTTGACTGTTTCACGCACGGTCAACGCTGTGTCTCGCCGTCGTGCTGCTGCTCTGATTCAGCTTTGCACCCAAAGCTAGCTGCGATCGCTGCCGTTGCTTTCATGATCCGTGACGGCCTGCTCGCTTGCTGCTGCATATATGCGCCATGCGCCATGCGCCATGCCGTGTGACCGCGAGGTCCTTGCAGCTCGATCCTTCCTGGCAATGCGGCGTCATGCCCGAGCAAGCGAGCGAGCAAAAGCAATCATGACCGCGACTTGGCAGGCTGCATGCTTGCTTTAGTCTAGCTCACTTTTGAGATTCATCTATGCTAGCTGGGTGGGCGCAGTCAGAACTCAGCGAGGCGGCAGTCACGAGTTGAGGGGACATGCCTGCATGTATAATAGGTGCTGGCAGGAAGAGCAGACGGACGCGCGCGTGGGCTATCGGAACAACCACATCGAAATCTGAAGGACCGCGCGCTTAATTAAGCTAGCGAGTGCATGAATGAATTAAGGGTGCGGGTCATGCATGCATGCATGCAGCTCCACTCTGGCTGCAAGCTTAGCCCCCCGCACGTCTCTGCTATACTCACACTGCACTTTTCCCATGCATGCAGGCAGCTTCAATCATCCTCGTGCAATCATCGCGCAAATCAAAAGTCATGATCAAATCAAACCAAATCGAATGCATCGATCGCGTCGGGAGTATTCGCGATTCGTGATTCGTGATTGTCATGCGCGCATCACGATTCTTCCCATCATGCAGCGCGGCCATCCGCCAGTCTCGCATCATCCCCGCCGGGCGCACCGCGAGCATCCGGCCGGCGGCTCGATCGCGCCCGCATGTTCCTTTGCGCCTCCTTGGACGCTATACGGCTATTTGGCTCTTTCATGCATGGGCCACGGCCGGGCTGCCATCCATCCAGCAGGCATCCCGCACAGCGAATATGCGTTCGTGATCCGTCCATGTAGGGCGTCTGCATGATGCGATTCGCAGCTCTGAGTGCGCTCGAGTCGAAAGCGCACTACTACTATTCACGAGTCTGCATGAGTCTCGATTGGCGCTGCGCAATACGATGAGCGAGGCGGGGCTTTGCAATCACAGGAAACCCAAATTGAACAGCTACTGCTCGCTCCTTGTGCATGTGGGCCGCGGAGGCATCGTTGGTCTCGCGCAAGGCGACTTCAACCGCCCAAGCGACGAGCATCGCATGTGCATCATCTTTGGCTTGACCATTCGCGAATCTTGCTGCCTTGCCTGCGTCGAGGTGAATCAGTGAATGCAGGCCAGGTGATCAGGCTGGGCGAGACTGTCAAGAGCTAGTCGAGGCGCGACGGTGTGCCCATAGGCGTGCGTACCGCACGTGTTGCCATGCGTGCACCGCAAACGAGTGATGATGCCGAGTCCCAAGCTTTTGCTGCACTTTTTCGATTTGTCGTCATCCCCTTCTCTCGTCCGTACCTCGAGCCGTGCTATACAGCCGCACGAGCTCATTTTGACAGCCAATCACACACTCTGTCTCTATAATCGCACACTCGCAAATCCCCCCCCTTCCAGGATGGCTCAGTCAGACAGACCGACACCTGGCGTTCTGAGTCTGCGTCAAGCGATCGAAGAGCGCGCACCAGACTCCAGCAAGGGCTCCTTGCTGGGCTGTTGGCTAGTGAGCGGAAGCGTGAGCGTGGCCAGAGCAATAGCAAGCACTCAAAAGTTGGATTTCATCGTCATCGATGCAGAGCATGCTCCAACGGACGTCAGACTGGTGGACGACTTGATCAAGGCGATCAGGCTCTGCTCGCTGGGACGCACTGCGGCACTGGTTCGATTGCCATCTCAAGCTGTAGAGTGGATCAAATGGGCATTGGACGCGGGCGCAAACGGTATCATCGTCCCTCGCATAGACAGCGTGCAAGAAGCTAGACAGCTCGTCTCCAACGCTCGATATCCGCCCATCGGCGACAGATCTTTCGGACCTTTTAGCGCGCCTCTGGCCATACCTGCGGATGCCGGATCGACGACCAAAGGCGTCCTCGAGTATTTCACGCAAGAAGCGCCCAACGTCGTTGTGCTGCCTCAGATCGAATCTAGAGGCGGTCTGGAGCACGTGGATGAGATCATTGGCCTCGAGGGCATCAGCGGCGCCTTTGTTGGTGAGTTTGCGGGATGACGTGCTCAAACATTGCAAACGTAGCGCTCACGTCGATCTCTATTCCTTTTCGCTTCTGCAGGTCCTGTGGACCTTCGACTCAGCATCGGTCTGTCTCCGATGCCCCCCGCACTGGACAAGTACGAGCCCACGTGGAGCGAAGCAATTTCTCGCGTGATGGATGCCGCACGCAAGCACGGTAAAGTGGTCGGAACGGTCACCGACGGCACTCAGCAGATGATTGCAGATATTTCCAAGCTGGGATTCAGGTTCATCTCCACATCTACCGATCTTTTCGCCGTGGCTGAATCAGTGGCTCTTTCAGCAACACAAGCCAGAGCGGCGAGCGTGTAACGCTTGCAAAAAGAAAAGTGACATCCTATTCAACGATCGCATGTGGCTCGCGCAATGAGAGCGTAATGTTGGATACATCGGGCGCAACTACGATCTCGCCCTTTCCCAAATCGCCTGCAGTGTCGAGCGGCCGCGTGGGATGCAGCTGCCCAATATTGAAATTTAGCAAAATGTGCATCAAGGCCATCGGAAGGGCTTGAGTGGCCAAGTAGATTCCGGGACAACCTCTGCGCCCAAATCCGAATGGCCACACATCGTGCAGCAGATCACCGACAGATGCGGCATTATCCGCCTCCAACCATCTCTCAGGCTTGAACCTTAGCGGCTCATCGTACACCCTAGCATCTCGCAGGATATGCCCAGCATTGATGAAGACGATGCTTCCTTTGGGTATCAAGACTCCCTTGTACACATCATCCGCGTCGCACCTTCTCGGACCGTTGGTCGGACTGACGGGCGATAAACGAGATTGCTCCTTGACGATGGCTCGAATGTATGCCCACGCTTCCGCTTGCTCTCTCTCCGAGTCAAAGGTGGGTGGACCGTCCAGTTGGCCGAACGCATCGTCGAGCAGAATTTGCGCCTTGCGCTGCACATCCGGGTACTCTGCCAAGTAGCACAAAGTCCACAACAAGCTTCCAGAGGTGGTGTCTCCACTAGCAGAGAGAAGTCCAGTGATGAGGAATCTTGCTCGTTCGCATCCCAGCTCCCGACGTGCTTCCTTGCCTGCGACGAAGCGAGCGTGGTAGTCGTGCTCGTCGCTCTCTGCAGCACCGTGGCGCGCGTCTTTGTGCACACCCGATCCGATCTTTTCGACCAGATCGAGCTCGACATTCAACAGGTCGAGATAGCGTGGCAGAAAGATGTCCATGAGTCGCTGTCGGGCTAAACGAATGACTCTGATCTCTCCGTTCAGAAAGCCAGGCAAATGCTCGAGCGCGGGAAAGAGCTGGGACAATCTCGAACGTATGCCAGCGTACTTTGTGATCCACTGCACGGCCTCCATCGCCTCCTCCACATCCTCCTCTCTCAATTCCTGCCCATCGAATATGATGCGCCAAGAGTTTCCCAGACCAAAACGTGTCAGCTCTCGCGGCACGCCAGCATCGTCAAAGGATCGCATGGCGCTCTGATGATCGACCTGTAGCAGCAGCAGTCGATCGCGCAGACGCTCGACCAGCTGAGCAGATTCGATCTGGATATACTCCAGCGACTTGGCCGTAATGGCTCGCTGTCCAAAAGACTTGTTGATGATGCTTCGCGCATTCTTCCAGTCAGGTCCGTAGGGTGCAAAGGCGGTGCTCTGCTCCGTGAAGAAGTGTTTCGCCGCGACATTCATGGGTCTGCTGCTGTATATCTTGCCTCTTCTTCCCAGCAGCTCCTCCACTGCTTGACGCGAATTGAGCATCATGACGCGTACAGGACCCAAGCGCAGACTGAACACTTCGTGCGAGGCGTATCGAGCGCCTAGCTCTCGCAGCTTGCCTCGCAGCGTCGGACCATCGGATGCTTGAAACAGGTGGCCAAAATAGGGCAGAGCGCCAGGCGGCGAGATGGGCAAGGCATGCTCGCATCGAAGAGCGCGGCCGCGTACGGTCGCTAGCCATAGCCCGAGGCTCGCGAGGAATGCGACGGACAGCGCTGTGAACATAGTCGTCGAAGTTGCTGCAATCTCCCCGCTGTAGAGCATGGCCGTTTGTCCTTTGCTTCGAATCGGGGCGGTGCGAAGCTCACGATCGAGTGCGAGTGGCTGCTGCTGCTGCTGAAGGGTGGAACGAGCAAGAGTCCGCGCGTGTCCCTTGACAAGAGGAACGACCAATTCGTGCGAGCCAGCACTCGTGCCTTCCGAGGACGCGACGTGGGGCGATGATGGCAGAAAATGGCAGGCGGCATGCAGCCATCGCGAACGAGGCCAACCTCCAAATGTGGCCTACACATATGGAATGCGCGCACCAACAGTCGTTCATCTGCGCGTGCAAGGGAGGCACATCGCGCTTCTTCGTGAGAAGCGCCCTGAGCAATAGCCCAGGTCTTGGGGATCGAGAACCGCATGATCCTTGACCACGGCAGACGAGCAAAGAAGCCTTGTGCGCTTCGGCTATAGCTGCGCTTCGCGCCGAATCCAAGCAAGCAAGCTGCGGACATGAGAGGATAGCTTGTCGAGGTCGAGCAGAGTTGCGAGCTGCTCGCTCGCTCGCCTGCCTGCCTGCCTGCCTGCCTGTCATTGCCGCAGACATGCAACTCTTGATTCTTGCTGCCCATGCGCTCCCCAGCGTCCGAACAACAACAAGTCGCTCGATCGTAATTGCGCGCCCGCGCGCGCGCGCGCCATCTTGCTTTCCTGCACTGCGGGCCATCTGCATGCTGCATCTGAGTTTGATTCGTGGATTACCTGCCACTCTAAAGGCATGCAAGCATTCGATCGCGGCGTAAGCGCTAGAGACCGCGGCGGCGAAACCTCCCCAGCATGAAACGAAGAAACAGTCGTGAGTCATCAATCAGTCAAAGTGATTGCTGCAGGAGAATCAAGAAATCACGAATGCGATTTTGATTTGAATATGCAATGCATGCATGCACGCCCCACGTGGTCCTCAGACGCAATTTTGAATTAAGCGTGCATCACACAAGCGAGCTCGTCGTGCATCCGCGCACTCTCGCGGCTACCTACGCACGACTGTGCACGACTGACTCTTCATCCCCACCCTGAATGACCTCTGAGCGCTCATTGTTGCTGCAGACAGCAGCGTTTGACGAGGCAACGAGTGCGAGGGAGGACACGTTTCAGCATCACGCGGTCCACACGCTCACAGCGAGATCAAGCACGTACGCGAAGCGAGCTGGTCTGTCTACCAACGGCGCGGCCGGCGTCTCGAGTGCCCGAGGAGGAGCAAGTCAAGTCCTGATTTGCTCTCTCGATTGATGAGAGTACAGATGCATGCCGCCCCTCTCAGCAGCATCGCCAGCTTTGGCGCTTGCGAGAAGCAATCGAGTAGCACAGTACGTCTTGATCGGCCGTGCTGCCCAGGCCTCCGAATTGGCATGGCGCAGCTAAGGGCTCGGCATACTGAAGCTGTGTCTCGGTGATTCGATTGTTCTTGCCAGCCACATGGTCTTCAGTCTTCAAGGACTCGGCGCCGAGAGTAGGTCATGGAATGACTCTTGCCATGGGGCGCGCTCGAAGCAGGTGCTGCAGCGGCTGTGCTGGGACGCGATCAACAATGTCGATCGCCTTTGCAGATGCGGCCACGGGCATGAAGCCGTGTCGCGACTCCGCGGGGGGGGGGGGGGGGGGGGGGGGGGGGGGGGGGGGGGGGCAGCACAGATGAGCTACGTTGCGGTCAGGAACGGTAATGCGTACATTGAAAGCATTAGCACTCAGACTGTCGCCCCTTCTCTTTTTCGTATATATATGGAGTCTTGAGTAGCGAAAGCTGATCATGCCGCTATTCGAGCGATTGCCTACAAGCTCACACTCCACTCTTGACCCGACTTTTCTACCATCAGACTCGGCTTGATGACGACATTTACAAACACGAATGTCTGCGCAATCGGCAGCAGGTCAGTGTGGCCTCTGACACACGATGAGAAGCCTACGTACCAGTCCATGGGCCATTTTCCGGGAATGTCCAAGCTAGTCGTAGGGTCCAGGTGAGCGTGCCAATCAATTTAGGACTTTTTTTTCTCCTGCTATTCTACCTACTCACGTGGCATCTGCGTTACTCTGCTGCAGTCCGCACTCCTCTGCTTGGCGCGCAGCACTCGAAACCCAATTCTATACGCTCAAGCATTTCTCCACCGAGCCTGAAGCAGCGCTCGATCAACTCCAAAGCTTTTTCGAAAAGCATTTCGTCGATGATGGGCTCCTCGGAGCGCCCGGAGAACTTCAAGGTCAGCCGTCTCGTTGGACATCCTTTGTGGCGGATGATCACTCTTTGCTCGAGTACAGCTTGGCGATCAGTCATTCGTACACTCGCCTACGTCTAGTCTTTGAGCCTGCGCCTATTCAAGTCGTCAGCCAGACGTCGAGGGACCGGCAGACGGACCCCATCAACATTTTGGCACCTTTACAATGGATTCAAAGACACGGCGCGCTGGGTCCACGAACGGATTTGACATGGTTTCAAGCTCTGCTGCCCGCTTTGACGGTGATGCCAAGCGACAAGATTCCCAAAGAGGCCTCTGGCTTCACACAGCTGGCGTTCGGTGTGGAGTTGCACAGCTCCGAAATCATGATGAAGGCATATTTCGGTCTGGACGCCAAGGCGATTGCAGATGGTCGGTGCAAAGAGGACATTGTGGAAGAGGCGCTAGCAGGCATACAACTGCGCCAGAGCTGGCTGCCCATCAGATCGTATCTCTTCGACTTGCAGCGTGCAGGCAAGCCCGCCGCGCTGGAATTCTGCGGCGTGGACTGCGTATCGTCCGATCAGGCTCGGATGAAGCTGTACATCCGCTTTAGCCGAATCGACCTGCAAGAGCTCGAAAAGCATCTGGATTGCAAGGGACACACGGATCGAAAAGTCTTTGAGAGCCAAAAAACCTGGGCTCGAGAGCTGTTCACACTCTTTGACGAGAAGCGAGAGCAGGTGATCGAATGTGCGGACTCTGACCTGTCCGCCCAAGAAGCGAGATCTCGCGGTGCGCTCGTCTACTACGAGCTGCGCAAGGGCACCACTGCGCCTACGGCCAAATTCTACCTGCCCATTCGCCATTATGCAGCCGATGATGACGACGTTGTGCAAAAGCTGGATGGATTCCTCTTTTCGCGCGGTCTTCGAGAAGCGGGATGGTACAGGCGCCTAGTGCAGGCATTCGTTACGCACCGCGCTCTAGCGAAGCGCAGCGGCGTGCAATCCATCATTGGCTGCGCATATAAGAAGGGCATCCCCGAGCTCACCGTCTATCTGGCCACCGAGCTCTACGCTCCTGAGCGTCCCTGGATGATCTGATCAGCTCACACTCTTCTCATGCTCACTGTCGCTCTCCATCGCTTGTTACACCTACGAAACAACTATCGAATCACATAGCCCGTGTGATCCATGCATCTTGATGTGACCCCTGGCAGGTACCTACATGTAGATACCTCACTCATCCACACATCTACTTCATGATTAGAAATACCATCTATCCGTAGCGTCCATCAACAACGAAATCCGAGGCTGCGTCGATGACGCATATACATTGCGGGTCGACTTGAAGTGAAAAGTCTGACGTTGGTGTGACAGGCACAGCGCGGGGGTTTGGAATTGCAGACTCAGGCGCTGAGCGTCACCTCAGGCTTCGATTCCGAGCTAGCTTTGACGCCCTTCTCGGCTACAGGAAGGCGAAAGTGGCGCACCATGAGAGAGGCAAAAAAGGCGATGCCTGCCGCTGCGACAAAGGAGATCCAGATGCGGTAGAAGCCTTGCTGGAGGTAGCCTTGAAGCGTCTGCGAAAAGTTTTGAATGATGTTGCCAGGAAGACCTTGCTGTCGAGTGCACCTGAGCAGCGCTTCGGGTCCACTCGCAGATCTCAAGCAATCTGCAAGGCTGGAACCTTGACCTGACGATCCGAGCATGTTGGCAAGTCTTGGTACCTCATCGGTGACGAATTTGCCAATCTGGTCGTTGAGCAGCGCGCCACCCACAGCAATGCCGATGAGCGCACCAAAATTCATCGCGAGCGCAACCAAGCTGCTCGCTTGAGCAATCTCGTCGGGATCAACGAGATGCTGCATGACGATGGGTGCTAGGTTGGCCAGGGAGCCAGAGCCGAGACCGAGAATAATCTGCCAGGCGAAGAAGGCTCCATCGGCCGTAGTTGCCGAAGTAGTAGAGAGCAGACCGCCACCAATAGCGCAGATTATCGCTCCGATGATCAGGAGAGGCGACCAGATGCCAGTTTTCTGAGAGGGAAGGGAAGAAAGACAGACGCAAGGCAGCTCGTCAGTTTGAGGGCTCGGTGTGTCACTGAAGCGCACGGTCGCGCACCGTCGCTCACCTCTGCTACCCCTCCGCTGATGCCGATAGAGACGGTGCCAAAAACGATGAATGGCAGAATCATGACGGCTGATCGAACGACGCTTCGACCTTCAACGATTTCGTAAAAGATGGGAAGAAAGTACGAGGGCGTAATGCCGACTACGCCGCCCATCAGAGTGATGATTACCAACAAGCCGACGGTCCGGTCGCGCGCAAAGACGTGCACTGGCACAGTCCGATGGCTCTTTTTGAGTGTGGGGCGAAATTGGGATGCAGCAAAGAGCGCGTAAATGAAGGGCGAGGCGAGGAGAGGCCTGGGCAGAGTAGATGCGCTAGTCAGCCATCGGCACTCCACAGAAGCTTCTTCTGCGTTGCACGCACCCGAGCACGCGCCCACTTGTCCAGGGACTGTTAGGCTGCCCACCAACGAGAAGGGGATACACCAGCGCAATCGCGCCGCCACACGAGAGCACTGTTCCAGGAAAGTCCAACGCAGCGAGCGTGCCAAGTAGGCCGCGGGACTTGCCAGGCATCGAGTCATCGTCAGGTACCGCTACGGGTGGCAAAGCTGGCAGCGCGAGCAGCAGCACGATCAAGGCGAAACCGCCGACTGGTAGCGCAAGATAGAAGATCTGAAAGAAATGCATCGATCCGAGGTAAGCGAGTGCGCAGAACTATCGATATCACTCGTCCCACTCACCCAGCGCCAAGTCACGTTCTGGACGAGACCTGCGCCGACCAGGGGAGCTGCTTTCATCCACACTGCCCAGGTAGCATTGCTGAGGCTGATCCAGGTAGGTCGTTTGCTTGGAGGAGAGATGATGGCGATGATGCTCCAAATGCCCACAAAGCTTCCGGATCCGCCGACGCCTGCCAAAGTGCGACCGGCAAGGAACATGCCTAGGCTCGTAGCAGCGCCACACAGCGCAGAGCCGATCAGAAAGAAGAGGAGGGCGACGATGATGACCCACTTTGAGTCAAAGGTAGCATACATGCGTCCCCATGTGAGCATGAGTGCCACAGTGGCCAGGAGGTAGGTGCTCTGAAGCCATGCGATGTTGTCGTACGAGGCGCCGATGGCCTCGGCAATGACCGGCGATGCGACGCCGATGGCATTGCTGTCTATCGCATTGACGCTCTCGGCGAGAAGAATTGCTGTCATGGAAGCGGCGAAGCGCGCCGTGGTCATTGGCACTCTAGCTACGTCCTTAGATCCATCTTGACCTTCTTTGGCCGGCGAGGAAGAGGCTGAGGCCGACGAAGGAGCGGAAAGGTCGCGCTTCTCTGGATGGCCATCTGTCGAACCCAGCGCATCCAGGCTACGAGGCGGATTCGCGTTTGGCGCAGACATGTCTAGCCGCGCGCTGTTTGTTGGAATGAGTCGAGCGTAGAGCGAGCCACAAGGGAAGGAAGGGGTGTTCGTGGGTTGGATGAAGCGCCGAGTGAGAGGAAGTCGAAGCTTGATTCACGACCCACGACGCGCTCACGCTCTCGCAAAGATCTGCCAAAGATCTCCTTGCCTGGCAGTGAGCACCTGCGACACGACTGCTGAAGATAAAGACCGGCTTCAGTCGTGACTTTTGATTACAGTGTACGCCTGATGTGATCGATCGTGAGATGGCACGTTGCCTGAACCAAGTCGACAAAGCCATAGGATCAGGCGGGCATGCCAACATGCATGAGACCGCGCACGCGCGCAAGTCAATCTACACCTGCATGCGCGCGAGGAGTCTGCTTCTCGATCACCGCGTGATGAGTCTGGATCTTGAATCGTCTTCTGGCTGAGCTCATGCAGGTGGCCGCGGTCTATCACTAGAGTGGTTTCCCCGGTCGAGCACCATGCAAGGATGCATGATGGCGCCCGCGCCAGTCCCGCATCGGCGCGCTAATGTGTTGTTCCAATCACGAATCTAGTTCGCGCTTTGCTGCTGGACGAGTACAGCGACGAGGGAGCGGCAAAAGCCTCGCGACTCGTATAAGATGTAGTGCGGGCGTAGACTCGTCATCTGCGCAAGATGGCGGCAAGTCGCCGACTTGCCTTGCGCTACACGCCGAAGAAGGCATGGTGTTCAAGAGCAATCCTTGGACTACCTCGCGCTATAGGCACAGCCATGCGTGGCAATGGCACGGGCGCGGCCGCGGATGCGACTGATGCTACCTTATGATGACGGCGGCTCAAGACCAATCAAGGTCGTGAATCATACGTCACTCGCAACTACACTCGTGACTCAAAACTGCTCCTGCACCTGCGTAGGCAAGGCGCACCACCCCCCGAACACTTGCCGGATTCAACGCGCGCGCTCGACCGCGTGGTTGCATATACATGCGTGTGCGCTGCACGCACGGGCGGGCCAAAGTCTATTCGGAATGACAAATCTTGCTCAGGCTGGAATCGTGAACAGTCAAGTCATCCCGCGCAGTCTGAACACGCAGGCAAGTCTGGTGTCAAATGACCCCCGCATGCGCGTCGCAGTCGATGCATACGTGCGGCGTCAGTCAGGGGGCGCACGAGGGGGGTCAAGGAGAATTCAGTCACGTATACCTTCGCAGCCGCGATGGGGCACGCCGAGCTCAGCACCGCAACAGCATCGATCTTGACTCTATGCTGCGACTGACCCGCGCAGGCCGCGCTTAGATCCAATCCAAGCACCTGCTGCATGGCCTCATGGCACACCATGCACTGCGCCTCACCTCTCGACGCTCGGACTGCTGTTCGAAAAGCAGATGATGTACATCAAAGCGAGACTCCACGCTTGAATCGCGCGCCATTTGCATCCGCATGAATTGATCACGCCGTCAAAAGCTTGGCCCGACGACGGAGGAGGCCTTCCGCTCGAGCCCACTCTTGACTGAACAGTCGTGAGTCGGGCAAAAGGGAGAGGAAGGCGGCCGGCCGGTCGGTCGTTCGGTCGTGCCATGCAGAGCAATCACGAGGTCAAATTTTCAAGGTAGTGGTCATGCCATGCAGAGCAACCACGAGGTCGTTCTTTCAATCCAACAAATTGCTGACCCTTCGTAGGACAAGAGTAGAGGCCCTTGGGCTCGCTTACATCTCTGAGATTGCAGGACTGCGCTCCATCGCTTGCTGGTCGTCCATGCTGAGCACTCTATTAGCGCCGCAGACTCAGGCCGGCCCTGCAGTAGAGCAGCAGCAACTCGACACCCGACAGCGTGAGCAGAGCAAAAGCAAAGCGGACTGAGCGTGGTGCGCGACTACAATTCAATTGGTCGGTAATTGGCCCGAAGAAGCCACGCATGCATGATGTGATTGTAGATTGCACTGAGATGATGATGGGAACATCGCACACGCCCATCATTCCTCGTCTTGTCGCTCAGCATTCACGATTGATGCAGCATGTGCGCGCTCATCAATTAAAGTAGAGAAACAGCTCGATCGCACTAGCAGCAGCTGAAGAGCAAGAGACGCCGCGGCGCCTCACGAGTGCGGCGTCAAGGGCGGGGCAAAACGCATGCATGGCGGTGCACCGAATAGCCAGCAGGGCCGCAACAATAGTGAATCTACTCTTTCGATGTTGTGCCAGAGAACACACCTGCGCGACGTTTGCGAACCGCGTGATGCTCAGATTTGCAACGCGTGCTACCGGCGTCCGGATCATGACAGACAGAGCTGGAGACGGAAACGCAGTCGTGAATAGGCGTCATCTCGGCAACGCATGGAGCAAGTAGCCATGCGTGGCGCATGGGAGAAGATGGCGTCGTCGTGGAAGTCGTCTATGCGTGGGGGATGCGCAAATGCGGGATGTGAATGTATGTCAGCTGCGGTGGTGCATGCTCTACACTCGCGGCTCGCGGCGATCTCTTCAACATCACTCACGACTGGACTTGTCCGAATCAGCGACGTTGGGCCATCTCGACTGAGTTCAATGTAAATCTCAAAAGTCATACCTGGTCATTCGATCACGCATGCTGCCCCCCCCTCAAAACAACTCACCTTTCACCTCGCTCTTGGCTTCCGTCACGACCATCCGGCCGCCTGCTCTTTCTTCCCGCCCGTTCGACAACTCTTAAGCCAGCTCTGACCCACTGACCACAGAGAAGCGCCTCTCTCTTGCCCACTCAGCCCGCCCCTTTGCTCGGCATTCCAGCACCCTCTCTGCAAGTCCACCTGCTCGATCTGATCCTGCCACGACCTTGCACGCACCATGAGCGAGACTTCGAGCCTCGACAACTCGAGCGATGCCGCTCCTGGTATGCACTTCATCGTCCCAAATCTTTGGTATCAGCGTCAAGTGCACTCGACCATTCAAGTCCTAGTCTTGGGTTTCTTGGTCTGGGAAATTGTCATTGCGAGTGCGGGTAAGAGCAAAGAAGCACCAGCTGTAGTCCTGTTCCTTGACACCGCATCCTTCCATCCTCTCAGACTTCTGGTTGGGAGCTGCGACAGTGGCTTCGGCCCCGCAAGAGATGGTCGCTCTGCCTGTTCACACTGGGGCGGTACTTTGGTCTCTCGGCCTTGCTGGCCTCCGTCATCTTGAATATCGAGGATGGGGTAACGGCACATTTCTGCTCAAAGTATCAGGCCGTGCTTCCCATCTTGGACGGTCTGGGATATGCAATCATCACCCCGCTGCTCATGCTGCGTACATGGGCCATCTGCAACAAGAACAGGTGGATTGGACTGATCATGGCTGCAAGCTGGCTCTCTTCGCTCGTCATCTCCATGTATGCCGCCCAATTCTACCAGGGCGTGCCATTCGCGTCTGTGCCGGGTCTCGGTCCGGTCGGAGGATGTGCCAATGATCCTGCCAATTACTGGCCCGCCGGTGCGTCTCTCGGTGCTGCGATCCGAGTTTTTAGCGGCAACTTTGCTCACCCTGACACAACGTTCCTGCTGCAGGCGTTTTTATTGCCTGGTCCATAGTTGACGTTCTGTGCTTTGTCTTTGCGAGCGGCAAAATGCTTCTCCTTTGGCGCCAGACTGGCTTCAAGACGAAGTTTCAACATACGCTGTTAAAAGAGGGTATTCAATACTTTCTCGCTGTCATGGCGGCCAACATCGTGAACATCATTTTCACCCTCAGCGACAGCCTGCCCTTGTTCATCAGACCTATCATGGCTGGGCCGGCAGCAACGGTTACGTGTGAGTGGTGACTTGCGTTCTTCGCTTCGGCCAAGCAATGCTAAAGCACGGGCTTCTCTCTGGCGAATAGTGATAGGCTGTTCGCGACTGTACATGAGCCTGCTTGACCAATCTGGCCAAGGCAGTCACACCGTCATCAAAGCGCCGAGCCACACGCCCATCCATTCTGGTGGAACAAGTGCCGACGACGACTTTTTGAAGCCCTCTGGACTCCAACGCAAGCTTGACGAGCGGAGACCGCGAGACGTCGAGGATCCTCTTCACCAACAACAGCCTCGATATGACTTCTCGAGCCCTGTTCGACAGTCGTCAGAATTCTCTACACATCTTAGGCAGATGCCGCGCTCCACCAACGACGGCTTCCCGTCCAGGCAACGAAGCCACAGCATTTCCAAGAATTTCTCTAGCACCTGCATTATCTCTGCGGCTGGGTGGCAGAGAGAGAAGGCGCCTCCGCGTAGACAGCCCCCGGCATCGGCCGAAGCCGGGCGCGAAGGGATCGAGCACCACGAACTCGGCAAGACCGACATTGGAGCGATTCGGGCTATGAGTCAGTATGATCAAGGCGCCGAGTCGCCTTCCACATCCAGCAACAGTCATTTCCAATCCAAGAATCTCGCAGCGCCTTTCGAACGGTCTGCTTTGCATAGCCCGCAACCTTTTGAAGTCCTTGCGCATAGTGCACATGACGACTTTCAGGAAGAAGTAAGCAACTCTCCTACCTCGACCGCTCAATTCGAGTCGTCGCTTGCCATCCATCAGCGCTCGGCATCGTCTTCGCTCGGGGTGCAGTACACCAGAGAGGTCGTCGTACATCAAGACTAGAATGGCGCTTTATTACTGCAAGAGCTCCCTTTTCCTGCACTAGTAGTACACTTTGATGTTCTTTGTGCCATACGTACGACCCAATGATGATTCTTTGCATAGTTCAAAATTCGCCAGACCGAGCACCGAGAGGCTTGCTCGCCTTTCTCCTAAATCCGCTGGCCTTAGGGTTAGGGTTAGGGTTAGGGTTAGGGTTAGGGTTAGGGTTAGGGTTAGGGTTAGGGTTAGGGTTAGGGTTAGGGTTAGGGTTAGGGTT